TGAGAATTGACATCGTAAAATTAAAAAATCGTATCGATGAAAGTACGTGTGAAATGCATGACTCACCAAGGGATTGGAGATGCACATAAACAAGTAATCCAATAGGAATTTTAAGTGGATTCCGTCCACGTTCGTTGTTCACTAATACCATCATCCGATGGTCGCAGGTTATATCACATAGTGCAATCGTGTCAGAGCTTCGTCAAGGCGTTTTTTGAAAACGGATAGGGTGGGAGCGTTAATTACATGTTCTGGAAGGGCGTTCCAAGGTTGTGACACTCGGAGGGAGAAGAAATTGCGTCGACATTCCAGTCGACTGTACTGTGTGATCAACTTAAATTGATGACCTCTTAGGGATGCGTTTTGACTACGTTTCAAAAGAGAATGACACGTGTGGTTGGGGGTTCTCAGTATCCGGTACACCAATATGAGATCGCCTCTCAAACGACGGTAACGTCCACTGTATAAGTTAAGAGTTTTCAGCCTGAGTGCGTAGGGAAGGCTGGAAAGACCTTTGACGTATTTTGTCGCTCTGCGTTGTGCAGTATCGAGTGCAGTGAGTTGGCGCTTCTGCCATGGTTGCCACGCTTGAAGAGCGTATTCTGTGTGCGGTCTAACAAAAGCGCTAAGCATTTTCGGAAAGATTGAGGCGTCAAACTTCCCAAACGCTCTACGCAGAAGGCCAAAGTGTTGGTTTGCTCTCTTGGAGGCCTTTTCGGTCTGCATTAAGCACCCAAGATCTTCTTGTACAAGCACGCCAAGATCGCACTCATGAGAGGTCCGCTGTAGAATGTCAGCTCCTAAGCGGTAGTTATACGCACTCTGATGGCGTATGCTCAAGATTTTGCACTTTGTGGTGTTGAACTGTAGCATGTTCTCGTTTGACCACTTGTATGCTTTGTCCAAATCATCCTGCAAGGCTGTGTGATCCTCTCCTGAAGCTATGGCACGCCATATCTTTAGGTCATCTGCAAACAGCAGAAAGTTGGAAGATAGTGCAGCTGCAAGATCATTTATGAAAACAATGAACAAGCGAGGCCCGAGTACCGAGCCCTGAGGTACGCCACACTGAACTTCGATTGGTTCCGACAGGGTATTTCGGACTCTCACATTCAGGTGACGTTGAACGAGAAATTCGCCTATCCATCCTAGAATAGGATTGCCGATACCACAATGCTGCAGCTTGTTCAGTAAAATCCGATGGTCCAGTCGGTCGAATGCCTTAGAGAAGTCCAAGTAGGCTGCATCCACTCCGACTTCGGCGTCCACAGACTCTGTCCAGTTTGAACGAGCAATCAGCAAATTAGTTGTGCAGGACCTGCCTTGGCGAAATCCGTGCTGCTCCGGAACGAGGATGTTGTTTTTCTCCAGGTACTCCATGAGGGCCTCGGCTACAATGGACTCCATGATCTTGGAGATTACCGGAAGAAGGGTAATCGGACGATAATTAGTTGGATCTGCACGGCTACCATTTTTGTGGATTGGAGTGATGATCCCGTGCTTCCACATCGTTGGGAGGTGCATCTCGTTAAGGCATCGCTGAAAGAGTGTCGCCAAAGGTTCAGCTAAGCTCGTGGCGGAAACTTTCAGCGCTTTCGGCCGAATGCCGTCCGCACCCGGGGAGCTAAATTCGCGCAACGACATCAACCGCTTCAATACAGCTGCAGTTGTGAAGGAAATGTGGTTAAGGCCTGATGGCGGAATAATTTGCCTAGATATGGTGCAGGATGTTTGCACACACTGGAAAGTGCGGCCGAAGTGTTGTCCTAGGACGTTTGCCGCATCCTGTGCCGTATGTGCTAATCCGAAAGCTGTGCGCAGAGCCGGAATGCCGCGCTTAACGCGGCGAAGCTTATTTATGTGTCTCTATAGTAGCTTTGGGTTAACGCAGAACTTTGACACAATATCTTGTTGGCTCTTTACCTTATCCTCCCTGACGAGTGTGACACAGTGGTTTCTTTGTGTAATATAGGTGTTCCAAGTATCCTCGCTCGGAGAGGCTATATGGGCGCGCCATGCCAGATCCCTCAATCCCATGCATTTCCGGGTCCTGCTTCTGAGAAACGACTTCGCCTTGTCGGGTCGGGGGATTTTGGTTTTAGATGCCCATGCTACGAGCGTGTTGAATTTGTTGACAAATTTCCCACATGCCACTTCTGGGACCACTCAGTTAAGAAGGACCAGCTCGTAGCACTAATGAGTTCTGCCAGGTTTTCGTAGTTGGTTGCGACGTAAGATTCCACGTTGCTTTCATTAGGATAATCTGCATAACACAAGTATTGGAACAATAGTGTCGCATGATCGCTGCGGCCCAAGGGAGGTTAGTAGGTTCTTAGCGGCTTGAATGGTTCACTCGTGGCTGGGTTTCTAGGCCGTGCAGATTGAAGTCCCCTACCAGCAAAACATGACTGTATGACCGTTCCAGTAAATTCTTCAAAGCAGAAGACGCAATCCCAGGGTCGTTCATGAGCTCGATGAGAAGGTCTGAACGGTAGTAGAGAATTACACCGCCGCCCTTGGTGGGTCGATCGTTACGCAGTAGTGACATGCCAGGTAGTTCGATCTCAGCGTCACTAATCATGTCGTTCAGCCACGTCTCAGTTATCATGATGAGGTCCCAACACATTGAGCTATGACGAGATCGAAGTTCTGCCAATTTGCTTAGAAGCCCTTGGGCTGTATGACGAACCACTGAAGTTCTCTATTTTTGAATCACCTGATCCAGTGTGCATTGCACAAGATATGTCATGGATCGCAATGTGTGTTTCGGATAACGCGACCAATGCCATTTGATAGCAGCAGTTAAGCTAAAACTAAGGTACAATTTGCGAAATGTACTGAGGTCCAAAATGTTCACGAAATATTGTAAGTAATCTTGCTTAACGCATGAGTATGCGTCAGTAGCCGCGTTGCTCGCTGCGACTCGGTGGCCTAGCATTTTAGAACAATGGAACAATGGAACGGTGGTATAATACGGATAAAAAGGCCAAGGCCAGACAAGTTCCGTGGGATGGTTTGTGGAAATAACGTCAGTTCAATGCAGTTAAACAAAGTGAATAACAGATCTGTGGACTCACCATATTATCCATGTTAATACATAGGTATATCCGTCTACCCCGGTTTGGTGGGATTGGTGAGAACAATGTTTATCTGCTTCTTGTCGTCACTCAATGAATAGAAATCAGATCAAGTAATGTTACTGGTTTAAAGAATCGTCGAGTCGTCTTTTAAAAGTGGGTCGCGTGGGCGCGGAAGTGACAAAAGTTGGAAGAGCGTTCCATCATTGACAAGCTTGAAGCGACAATAATTCCGGCGGCACTCAAGCCCACTGTATTGGGCGGCAAGTTTCAATTTATGACCCCTCAGTTCCGTGTTGCTGCTAAGCCTCAAGGACTGGCAGCAAACGTGACCAATGTTTTTCAAAATCTGGTACTCCAGGATGATGTCAACCAGTCGACGGCGATATCTTCCGCTTGACACTCCCAGGACTTTTAGTCACTTACGGTATTACAGGTGGGATAACCCTTCACATTTTTTGTTGCCCGTCACTGTGCAGTCTTCAGTGCAACTAGGTCACGTTTTAACCAGAGTTGCCAAGCCTGGATCACGTACTCTACGTGGGACATCACATACGCATTGAGCTTCAGCTGGAATCCGATGGGTCCCGGGTTCGGTGGCTTGCTATCCCTACTTCATAAAGACAACGAAGTTCGGAATCGGTCGTGGAGAGCAGTGCTTTGGGCAATCAACCCCCAATATCCACCTTTACGAATTCAGCTACAACAGTCTGCTTTGCGTTTGACTTCTGCACGAGAGGGCGGGTTTAAATGGTTAAGGTCTGGCATCAGGGTGATATATGGTCGATAAGGAAGCTGAGAATTATGACGGAATAAATTTATTTTTAGATTGTTCGGTCGAACCCTTCAAGCGTGTTAGCAAGTTGTAAATAATATATGGAATGACTTCCGATGTCTCCCGATAGCAATGTTCATACAAATCTCTGAGGCACGAGGATACCATCCGGTTTCATTACCTCTCTCAAGCATTTCGCGCAACATTAGTCTTTGTAACACTTTTGTCTTGTTCGCTTTTAATCGGAAATTACGATCAGGCAGCGTTCACTATTTCCATGCTGGTAATCCGATTTTCTACACGGCGATATATTGCCATCAACGTGTTGCGAATATGCGACCAGCGAACAGTATCTGCCTTGAGACAGCAGTTCTATGTAGTACGCATTCAACGCACCTGGCTTCATTAATTGTCTGGTGTCTGTAGGCTACGGCGTGGTCATTGGTCCTTGTCGAATCGCAATAGGAAACTGGAATATATCATTGCAAGTGTAATGCAGCTTGCTGAGATGGAAATAATTTCAAAGCCAATTGGGACGCATTCACCCATATTATCGTATATCTGTTATCGCTGGTTTTATGTTGATGAGGCGCAGAATCGGAGAAATAACAGAACCATTGTATGAACAAAATAATAACACGGAAACTGCGGTATCAAGACAAAGCGATTTCTGCGAAACCGAAGGCGAGGCAGCCAACCAAAGCAAGGACAATAAAAAATCTGTAAGTTGACCACTCAAAAGAGTGGACGAAAGTGATCCACTTACTGAACTGGTAAACCTACAGAGATCAGGAACAATATGTTTTACAAATTGAATGTTCAAGCACTGAAAAATAAAACGGATAACTTAGAGAGTTAGTCAGCATATGAAGGTTGTCACCGACAAATCGGTCGTGGACGTTCGACAAAATTTAGCACCTGGACTTAATCCAGAATTCAAAGCCGGAGGTGAGCTACGGCGCTAATTTACGAATGCTTAGATAGCATCTTAGTAACAAACCCCAGACAATATCCAGACCCAAATGTATACAACAATTCTACACTGAAACAGCGCAGGGGACAAACATTAAACAAACGGAGATGAAGCAGATTATCATTCAGAAGTGAATTGAAACGAAGCGATCAGTCATCCGGTCAAGGAATGAAACCTAAACATGGAACACGGGTGGGGAGGAGGCCAAATCTAGTCGACACTCACCCAGACAAGCAGGCATGTGTCCGAGAACGAGGAGACGATATAACGCTGGAATGGCACTGAGGGCGATCAAGAGGGCAGGTAAAGTAGGGATTGTGTGAATTACTGGACGAGGATTCAGGCTAGGAAACACATAAGAATTAGGTATGGGATCTGTGGCATGCAGATGTAGCTGAAAGTTTTGCAAGTGAGCCATAAAATCGGATGGAGTGTCGACAATTCGCACATCAGGTAATCGGAGCAGTGTAAAATAGTTTAGGCACAACGAGTCTGGGTAATCATAGTTGACCAAATGAGCAAATTTGTGTGACGTGTCGGTGTTCTTAATGTGGGTAGAAAGCAAGACACGTGGTTCTGTCGTATGCGAACCAAACTGGGATTCAAAAGTTGTAGATGCTCGGGTGTTGGGGAGAGACCATAGGGATGTAGAATCCGAAAGACTGAACAACATTTTTGTGCGTTAAAGTAGTCAAGTTCATAGGTTTTAATGTATACCATTAGTCCAGTACATTTAAAGGAAGAGCAACAAATTAATAGTATGAATGCGCCAAATTGTCCACGTGAACCGCATGGTAGGAATACGTCAAATGAGCATTAGCACGTCCAACAAAACGAACATCTTTCCCCTAATACCGCTGGCCCTGCTTTCTCTGCAGCAATATTACCATGGTGTAACCATTGCAAGTAGTTGTAACAAAACGTTCGGTATTGTTGATACGTGGTTTGAACGTAACATGACAAGACTGAGACGTGAAGAGTTAATATAATGATTCCTCGGCCAGTGGTCTCTTGAACAAGTCGACGGCCAGCGAGTATCACGAAGTACCAGGTTAGCGTAATGCAGGGCTTTTACAGAACTCTGCCCACTGCAACCACATCACAGTATATGGGCAGTGTTTGCGTAG